TGAGGGAGAGAGACAGAGAGAGACAGAGAGAGGGAGAGAGAGATGCATCACCATCACCTAATGTGCATGAGGTTCATGCCGCTTCCGTCGGAGGTCTCGATCTCCGCGTACCGCCCGGCCAGCACCGACGCCAGGAAGCTGCACACGAGAGAGATGCGCTCCGTGTTGTCGTACGCCTCTGGTCGCTCCCGGTGGATCTGATCCATCCGACCCGGGCGAGCAGGGTCCCATCCCGTCCCGTCCCAGCGCAAACGGAACGCCAAAAAAAAAACTGAATGAGGTCGGTCTACCGAACAAGCAGGAGGCACTGCAGTCTCAGTCTCTTTATTTTATTTCTGGGTGTTTTCTCGGGCGGTGAAGCGCCAACGATAAAGGAGACTCAGCGGACAGGCACACAGCCGGAGGCGGGGGAGATAACGGCGAGGGGGGAGGGGCTCGATTTGCCTGGCCTGACAAAACGCCGGATAGTTTTTGCGGTGTTTTTGCCCCCCTTAAGCCGCCGTTCCTACCCAGCAACAACGTTAGACGAGGGTAAAACAACGAAGCAGAACTAAAAATAGCAATAAACAGAACGGACACCACCATGGGCCCTTTCAGGTCAACGCGCTCCTACACCCACTCGCCTTTCATGATCTGCGGTGCCCCGTGCCGACGGTGTACACACTCGCCACCCACCCACCCACCCCAACAACGTGCGGCGCCCCTTTCAGAAGGTGCACACAATCTTACACTCTTCTCATACACTCACATTCATGATCTGCGGTGCCTCCCGCAGACGGAACATTCACCATAGCACTCTCTATTCATGACACGCAGCACTCCCTCTCACAAGGTTGTTCACAATTCTCCACTCCCTCTCGCCCGTCCACTTCGCCTTCATGATCTGCCGTACCACCCGCAGGGAGGGAGGGATACACACATCTACTCTCCACCCAGTCGCCTTCGTGACATGCGGCACCCACTCTCAGAAGTTGTACACACACACACACTCCTTCACTCCACCCACCCACTCACCTTCATGATCTGCGGGGCCCCTTGGCGAAGGTGCGCCCGCGACCCCGTCAGCTCGGCGAGTCGGGCCGCACCGCCCATCGACTCCTCCAGCTCCGACGCGTATTTCTCCGTGCTCCCGTCCGCCCAGATGGGGCTGTCCTCCACCGCGAAGCACCCGGCAAACGCCTCCGCCAGGCCTGTGTGCCAGCAGCGCGCGGGGACGCGCACCGAGAGCAGACACGCCTCCTTTTGTGAAAAGCTTTTTCTTCTTCTTCCTTCCCCACCCAATGGAGTGGGTAGTGCGGAAGGGGGCGGGGGAACGGGAGGGTCTACATCTGGCGGGGCCAGGCTTTGTAAAAATCGAATCCGACCGAGCACAAAAATCGACTGTTCGCCTGGATCGCCGGGTCATCGAACGGGTGCAGTGCGAGAACTTGCTGCGGGCGGGACGTTGCCACACCTTGACGTGTCGCTGAGCTTTTCGAAGGTTCACGCGAAGCGAGGAGTCGTCCTACTTCCTACCAATAAACACACCGCCATCGCTGCCGCCGCCGCCGCCGCCGTTCGATTTGCTCTCGTCTCCATGTGGTGCCTCAGCCATACCCTCGAGCCTCTTCTGTGAGCCCTTGGCCCAGTACACCGTCCCGTGCTGCTGCCCGCTCACGGAGACGCCCCGCACGGTGGAAAGGTCGATTGCGGCCGCCTCGCCCTCGGGATTCTGTTGGGGGGCAACAACAAGGACCATGGGGGGTACCAGCACTCAGGGGGTGTCATGTAAACGCATGCCGCAGCCGTTAGACGATTGACCTGGCATCCCTACAATGCCGGGACGGAGGAGCGGTACGCCGGGTAGCCTTCAGGGAGGGGTATGCATCAGAGCTATATGAGGTAGCCTGTGTTGGGTCGGCTGGCGGCTGCAGAACTTAGCGGAAGTCATCCAGAGTTAACTCTCGAAGCTTACTTGTAAAGCTTCCCGACACGGATCGTTCCCAGAGATGGGAACGTCCTCAATCGGGGGTGGAGCATGATATCGGGCTCTTGGAGGGGCTAGCCGAAACATTTCTGTGCATTGGAGACACCGTACTGTTGCTGAGAGCCCGCACACACGCGCGTGGGCCAATGGGACGCTTGGCGATAATTATAGTGCCGGTTCAAGCACTGATGGAGACCCTGGAAGCCGAGAAAACGAAAACGGGCGTGTTGTGCTATGCATATGCACCTTGCCAGCAGTCTGCCGCACGGTCGGCTTTAGCGCACTGCACAACGCAAACACGCTGATTTGTTGGGGTGCAGGTGTGCTTCTTTCCACGGGCAACATCGACCGTGCGTGCTGACACCGCAACAACAGAGAGGCGACTCGCGAGCTTCACGCCGCCACGGCAGCAGTTCGGTGGATGGCTGCGCATCATCCCAGCGGCGCCCGAGGCCCCGCTTCCTTGCAACGAAGTGGACGTCAAATCTGAGCCGTCAAGATCCGGCACAGTTCTCGGCTGATAAATGCATATTTCCCCCATAGTACAAGCCAACACCCAGAACGCGATGTTGAGAGACCAGAAGTCAAAACCCGCTTCATGGCGGGGGCAGTCGTACGCGTCACAATATCACCAACACGCAAAATACATGTGACCTGATGCAAAAAAAGCTCCATGCGGATAGAGGGGGGTAAATCGTACGTGTCATAATCCCACCGAAGGTACGTGTGCGGGTCACAGGACGACAAAAATAGTAATTACCTTGAGCCGCTGCAGCAGTGCCTCCAGGGCGTGCAGCCACATCGCCACCGGGGAGGTGACCTATGTAGGCGAGAGTCGAACGGGACAGCAGTGCCAAGACAGCGGTGAGAGGCGCGATGAAAGCACAGCATGTGAGGGGCTCTCACACGACCTTGCGGAGGACCATGAGAAAATAGATGCTGTCGCTCTGTGCCCAAATCCACGGTGCTGCGATGCCTCTTCAAAAGCCTGGCTATATGTACGACGGAAGAACTGTGTCAATGTCGACTCACAATGAAAACCGCAGTGGTACCAGGACAACCATGACAAATTCGGGCAAGACTGTTCGACATTCGTGTCAGGGTCATGCGGGATGATCGCGCACTTTCGTGTATCGGCCAATGCCTTAGGCCGGCAGTCACGCTTCCGCGGCTAAGGTCTCGATGCCCCACAGCAACGACGTTGCTGGCAGGTATGATATCGAACGACAGCTAATGTATAAAAAACAATTATCTACGACATACATAGATGCGAAGAACAAACTGCGGCTCCTTGACAACGGTGAACGTCTCTTTCAGCAACTTTTGATGGTGTCGCTGTTGCAACTGCTTGTGCAGGGTCGTTTTATTTCATTTCGTGTACAATAGTGTGTTTGGGCAAGAAGACATGTGACCCCTACTCTACTCTTCTCCCTGCTGTACCTGTTCGTCGACGACCTTCATCCCGTTCTTGGAACCGTAACGCTGCTCGACAGGCAGGTCTTTCTGAACAAGTCGAATGACACCCAGGGGTAACATGTGCAGGATGTAGCGGTCATTTTCAACAGCAGCATATTGCACAACAACATGCATGGTCTTCGTACATAGCGCAGCGTAGAGAAGGAGGACGGGGTGCGATTTTCTCACGTGTGGTATGGGCAGGGGAGGATTTGTTACATCTGTTTCACCCTACCAGCTCGAGGTGGTGACGAGTGTGATGATATGCACATGCATGCACGTTCTTTCCCTGATCGGGGTAGCCTTTGGTTGTAAACATGTACTTGCAGAGCTCCTGGCTCGTCATGCCGGGAAGACTGACTGCATGAATATGTGTGTTGCACTACGGCAGCACCTCGTAGTTGATGGACTCTAGCAAGATGGGTTCGTTGAAAGTCCCTCCCACTCCGTCGCCCCTCAGGACCGCTGCGGTGAGGCTCTGGGTGCTGAGGTCCAGCCCTAGCCACAGTGGTTCTCCCTGCTCCTCCTGCTCCTGCCCGTCCTTGCTCGCCATCGTGGGAAACATGAACACGCGACTGGCCCGCCGTTTGGCATCACCAGCAACAGCGATTGGCGACAACTCCCTCGTCTTGGATTGCCGGCCTCGTCGCTCGCAACATTTGCCTGCGTGCAACGAGCTGGATGGTTCCAAGGCCACCGTTGAGGTCGCTCTGGGAGCTAACAGCCAGGCCTGCGCCTTGCTAGTCAGGATCGCAAGCACCAGAGCATGGAGGCATCTTGAAGATCTGCTGCTGCTATTAGCAACAGCATTGTTCTTCTTGTTGCAGGCGCGGCAAGCGCTGCTGCAGAAAGGGGAGCTGCGGTTCGGAGCCCTTCTTCGCCGGTGAGGTGTCGCGTTCTTCCCCATCGAGGACATCTTCGTGTTGCCCTGTCTGGCCGTCTGGTGGGTGTGCTCGACCAGTGGACCTGTGCACTTCTCACTTTCGGCCGGCGGCTGGCCTGTTGCCGGCTCAGCGCCCATGGGTAGGGCAACCGGGGAACGAGTTATATTAATTTCGCGCGAAGCGCGAAAAAAATACGAAGAGGCGTTTGGGCGGAAGCCTTTTTTTTTGCTCCTTCATGTGCCCTGTTGTTTTGACTGTTATCTCGCTCAAATCAAGCTCGATTTCAAAATCGTTTTTTGCTCTGCATTCCCTGGCACTTTGCGAGGAGGACTGATGCATGCACATCGGAATGTACAAGGAATTGCGGCCGAGGGAGTGCACTAGTTTAGAGGCTTTATGATTGTGTGGAAGGTACCACCTTTTTTTTTTTGCATGCGTCTGTTGTACCTGGTACATATCTGTTTCAAATCGAGTTCGATTTCAAAGTATAGTGTTTTGCTCTACATTGAGCATCTTACGAGAAGGATCGATGCGTGTACATTCAAGCCATGTGTTCTTCTACATTCAGACATCTACGAAAAACACGGCAGCATCACGTCTGTGTAGGTTGGTTCTGCTACAGAACACCTGCACCACACCCCGATCAGGGCTAGCTTCGGCCGTTGCCGTTTACCCCCAAAACTGGTTTGGGAAACGAAAATTGGAACTTCAGCGACAGCACAGTTTGCCAATATTATGTAGTTCTCTCCCATTACTGCTACGTACTTACGTTGCTGCCAGGCACTCCTACTGTTGTTGTGGTGCCCACAAGGTTTGCACGTCTCCCCAAAAAATGACACATGTCCAGCCTCCATAGCACGGATGGTACTTCTATCCCCTCATCCCCACCTTCGCATTCGACATGGACGCCCCCGTCCCCACCAAACCGCCCCTACTCACTACCCCAGTCACCTGCTGCTACCGCTGTAACCTATACACAAGGCGTTTCCAAATTCCAACGGGACACAACAGCAGTTGCTCGCCGAATAGGCGCTCGCTGAAATAGCAACGAATAAGCATGGAAAACGAACCCTACATCTCCGAATGTGCCTGTGCGTAAACCAAGCGTTTAAATCTTCCGGTCGTCACAACAGTTCTCCGCAGGATGCAAGATGGCTGCCAATGATCACCAAGATGTTCGCATTGAATCGCCGTTACATCGCGCAGGATTAACACCACGTCTTCAAACACTGCCCTGGCACCCCATAGGTTGTGTAGCTGTTTGACGGAGAGGAACCGCCAAATCAGCCTTCGACCCCGTCTTGATGTCCAGCGCTCAGTTGTATAAACACCTGTCATCCAAAGCGAGAACATGATATGTGCTTTGCGAGTCAGCATTTTCATCAGAGGCCAAAAGGCAAAAGTGAACATACCCAAGCGTCGAACTTCTCTACGGCCCTTTGTAGTGCCATGGTTCGACCGCGGACAGTTGGAAAAAGTGTGTCCGGCCGTTGTGCCATCGATATGCGTCGTAAACAAAAATGCAGAAACTCTACAAACACTTGAGTAGCACAAATGTCGCTCCCAGCAGCACACATGCAAGTGTATCCCTCAACATTATCACGCTCATCCGTAGAGTTGTATCGCAATCTGGACTGCACGAAACCCCCTGTTGCTGCTCTATGCATGTGACCCACCTAAAGATGAGCCGGCTTGTCAAGTGAGGCTCGAGTCGCGGCCGGCTTCCCGCCAGCGCCGCGGTGCCGTTAGGATGTTGAGCGAGTCTACCTGATGCACGGATGGAGCAAGAGGAGGAAAGGGGCACGAAGAACATACAGGACGGAAAAACGTCAGCAACTGCATTGACCCGCCTCAACGATGTACCACGTATTTACTACCATACAATCCTGCACCCTGTGTCCGCCTCAACGAGCGTTACCGATGATAAACCCTGAAACTACTGCTGTACAAGTAGGGTTGCAGTTGAACGTCGACGACAAAAAAGAAAGCACCACGACAAGGTTGCCGATGTACAGCAAGCAGACCTTCACAGATCTCCAGTTCCTCGGAAGGAACTGCGTGGATACAGTTGCTACAAAAGAAATGATTTGAGGTTGGACGTGGGAAGAAACGGCCTTTGACCCCTAGTCACAGCTTGATACATGCAGCGATGCAGCCTCCGGACGGATTTCGTCTTCGGGGGTCCCCCTCACGAGCTATTTAGGTTGCGCTTTGTATTGGTTGTTTGTATGTTCTTGAAGCTTGGTTCGGGGGTGGTTATTGGGGCAGATCAATCAGGTGGCTGCCCTGAACAGCCACATGTACGACGATGTATGCATACGGCGTGGCATTGACGCCCCATCAAAGGACTATTAGCGTGACGTTGCCTTTAGATGCGAGCAGTGTAGACGAGGCGAAATCATCCGTGGGAGAATAGGCGTTGACCGAGCGGATCGACGGTTGCGATGAGCGGCACCCCGGCACGGAAACATGCGCGGATTCTCAACGTTTGAAACAGCGACCGAGGATGAGAATAATTATGCATACGATAGATCGGGTGGGTTCTCATTTGGGAACGGTAACCTACTGGTGCTTGCAGACGGTCTTGGAATGCCTTCTTCTGAGGTAGACTAGACATACTGGGATGAAAGCTTCGTGTTCAAAGGGGGTGGGCATGAACTCTATCTGTTGTGCTGTCTTCGCAGTACTAGCTGGCAAAAATAAAGTAAGAGAATATGATACACAGCTCACATGGCTGCGGCAAGGTGCTTAACCTCGCCCAAGCTCTTACGAGCGGGCCGGCACTGCTGACGGTCATCGACTCTATCTGCTACACTGCTGTAAAGTTGCTGCGCTGTGGTGAAATGCTTGCGAGAAAAGACCGATTGACTGCGTGACGACGTTGCAGGACAGCACCTGCTGATCTGCCAATAAAGAAACGTTCGGTACCCGTCAACGCACACTACAGCAGTACAGCAGCAGCCGTCACATCAATGGGGTGCTAAGCAGCGCACAGAGAGGCACGCACACGATACACCCCACGAAGGCTAAGCGCTGCAACTCACTGCTGTTGCTGTACACCTGCTTGTATCACCAACATATTCACCTGGAAAAGCCGAAACGGGGTGACCGCTGCTACCTCTGCCTCTCTTCCTGGCTTCACCGCCGCCAGTGCTCAGCAACGTGTGTTACACAGCCAGCCGTCGCCACCACGCCCTTATCCCATGTCCGTTGCTTCGTGGTCCGTTATGATATGATGATGCCAAAACACAACCGGCGCTCTGGTCGATGATGAGGTCGTTTGCTTCAAGCAGGAGGTTCACGCCGCCGCAATAGCAGCCCAGCCGCAGGTGGTTTCATGAAGGGCAATGCTTGGCATCTCACCACGTCGCGGCGTCTGTCCACGCGACATACATTCGCCGGCAAGCACGTGTTGTGTGCTGTGCAGCGTGCCGGCAAGCACGTTGGTTCTCAGTACAACGCACGCGCGCGCGGTCTTTACAACTCCTCCCGTACTAATCCCAAGTGCCGCTTTTTAAAACCCGCTTTTAAACTCCCAATCAGCTTCGTTCAAATGCGGTGGTTTGGGCCAATCAGAGGCGCCGCTTTTAAAAAAGTTATTCCTACCAATGCTACCCATGGCCCCAGTACATTTTACCATCCGTGCGAAGGGATCTTTACTTCTAAATTTACTGTCTCCTCATTGGTTGGAGATGCGCGTGCGCGCGCTCCCTCGGTGAACCTCTTTTTGGTTCTATTCACAAAGCTCTCCTGGGGTGGGGAAACCCCGGCGCTGTAGCTAGCTACATTTCTCCGCACGCCGCGCACGAGGTGCGCGTGCTGTGAAGGACGGACAGGGCGGCCGTGCTACCTTATCGACACGTAGCCTCTAGAGGGAGGCATTGCATAGCGTGGCTTCCACCGTTGGCCACCACAGCAGCGGTCAGTCGTTGATGCAAGGAGGTGAGCGGCATGCTGCCGAGCACGGGCTCTGCTGGCGGCGCGCATCATGATGCTGATCATGATGCAGGCGCGGATGACTGCGTGGATGGTGCGGCTGGTCGCCAGCACAAGCCGTTGTCGCACCCCTTGCCCGCAGCCCCATGCGCGAACACTGGAGAGAGTTCCAACTTCTTGCAGCAAAACCCTCCTCGAGAACGGACAGCGACCTCTTCCGGTAGCGAGCCGTCGGGCAATTCCCATCTGTCGGTCAGCGGCGCGCCTGGCGGTGTAGCCACCGTCGCGAACACATTTCCTTGCGACACTCCTGCGGCTATCGGAGAGGCTTGCAGAAGTGTGAGTGGACGTGAATCACCACCAGCGAAACGCCACGCGTCGCAAAGCCCATCATCCCGGGGGAGTTTGGGACGAGATGCAAGAAATTCATGCGAGGGCTTCGGGGCCGGTGAACGTCGCGGCAGGGTGCTGCACTCGTTCCTTGCTACAGCTGTGCAGATGTCCCAAGCATCGGAGGCCTTGGGGACGCCAGGGGAGCTATCAGGTGATGGTTTCGAATTCGCGGAACCACATACGCCCCTTTCGTCTGCCATTGGGGTACATACGGGACCGGGATACTGCTTTACCGGTACGCACGGGCGGAGTGCCCCACTATAATATTACATTGGGAGGTAGAGGGAGTAGCGCAGTTAAACTATGAACGCTCACCCCAACTGGGAGCAATGTTGCCACCAGGGCAGCGCCTACCCAACAAAGTGCGGTGGGGACCGCAGCAGCAGCAGCAGCAGCAGCAGCAGCAACAGCAGCAACAGCAACAGCTTTCAGCCCCGGGTTGTTTTGGAGGGGTATGGCCGCCGCCCCGGCCCCCCCCCCGGTTTTTGATGGCGCAGCAGGGCGCAGCTGGGGGGGCGGTTTTACAGCCGCAGGGGGATAGAGGGGTACTTCACCCACTTCCGCCGCTCCCGTTCCCTGTGCAGCAGAGGACGGCAGGGGGCATTGTGGGTGACCCCCTGAACGCCCATGGTTTACATCTGGTTTTGCAGCAGGGCGCACCGCATGGCTCAGGGACAGGCGGTCATGAGGAGGAAGACGAGGGGGGGGGGGGGGGAGCAAAGGATGCCTCCAGCGGAAAGCCCGTCCCTGTCATCGTGCCTGCTAATGCTACGTTGGCGAAGCGCAGCTGGTGCTGTTCGAAAAGCAAGACAGTTACTTCGATTTGTCGTGGGTGTCTCAAACGATGGCATTGCCACGTCGACCATGGGCTGGTCGACCTTACCAAGGATCGCTTCATTTGCTGCTTCTGCGATACGAAGACGAAGTCGGCATGTCTGTGTCACGCGTGAGTACCCCAATATCGTTTTCCGCTGTTCAGTTTCTTTGTTCAATTGCAATTCTCTTTAATTATATGACCAAGAGTGATGTGCCAAATCGAGTTCTCGGATGCTTCTCGCACACGTGGGTGTCACCCGATTCGATGCCACCCATGTGGTTTGTTTGAGAGGAATATGCAACAATATCTTGACTTCCACAGCGCTCGCGCAGCCTGGTAGGCTGTCACCTGTTTTCACCTAGTTACTCCGGGAATGTTGCTGGTGATCTGTATCGACTCCAACTTTTCTGGTTGCTTGACCATCGGTGTTTGTTAGGTCTTCACCCTCTCGCAGTGCGACCAAGACCGGAGCGTCCACAATACGACCTGCTCTCAGCGTGCGTGCTGTACGTATACTCATTTCCCCCCCCTCTATTCTTCCCACCATCACATGCTTCGTACTCATACAGGTGCAAGAAGAACAAAGCTGATAAGCGAGCGGCATCCCAACGAGGTCAAGCCGGCCACATCCACGGGAGTAGCGTGTCCCGAGTGATTCACCGCCAGGCTCGAACCAGCGCTTTCAAGCTCCGTCTGCCTCTCACGGTGGCGGCGCGCAACTCTAGAGATAGACAAAAGGCACTGTTTTCGGTCTCCACTACCGCCCGCGGCGACCGTGTCATGGTCATCACCGACGTCACCGCCGAGCAACCTGGTGCGCCTGCAAGCTGCATCGTGAACTGCTGCGATAACCGATGCCACAAGTGAGTCGATGTAGTAGTTGGGGGATGTCACGAAACAACAGTGCTTGTGTGGTGTTCGATACTCTTCCTTCTCACCGGCAAATCTCCGATCGAAACTACACGTTATTGTTGCAACCCAACGCTTGTATAACTCGTTTGGAAAAGAAAGACATTTGCAGGGCACAGGTAGGGGCCCGGCCGTTCTGCATTCTCATTTTATTTTTCGACAGTTGCTGCTCGCTAAATTTATCAGAAATTAATCGGCATATATATTTTTTTCTGACGATGCACTGTCACTTTCACGGTTGCTTTCGTTTGGTTTTGCAGTGTGCAAGCGGAACCCGAGCACGCGCCAAACGCCGAGCAGGTTGCAGCGGGCCAATGTGAGCACGCTGACGTCATTCTCGGAGATGGGACCACTCCGAAGGCGGATATTCCTGAAGCAGAGCCGGTTGTCTTTGGCAAGGATGGGGAAGGGATCGAAAGCGTTGGGGATGCAGCGATAACCCAGATGGTTTTGACTCATGGTTTTGACTCAGGGTAGCTTTGACACCATTCTAAGGATGGCAGCGACTGCAGAGGAGCATGGGGTGCCGCTGTTGATGCGTCTTAGGCGAGACTCAGACGTATGTTGTGTACCATCCGGGTCATCGGTCTATTCCTGGCAGCTGGGCACACGTCGAGACGGATTTCCCGCAACCACCCGGGTCGAAGAAAGCGCCATCAACGAGAAGGCGGACCACTGAAAGGAAGCAGATCCAGTGCAAGGTGATAGTCTACTACTGCCGATGCATGACTATTTTTTATTCGGAGCTCTAGAGTATTGAATGTATGTAGAGCGCTTCTGCTGTGTATGTTTTCCCGCCCCAACCTTGAAATTCGTCGTGCAAACCACGCCAGCAATATCGGTGCCTGTGTTGTATAGCTCGGATGGTAAATATCGTGGTTTACCTGACGTACAGTATTTTCCCCTGAGGATAGCTGGTCGGAAAGGCAAAGTAGCAGCGAATGATACTTTCGGTGCTTTCAAGATGGTGTACATCATAGCACGTAGCATTGACTGTTTTCACGCAACAAACCTGTGTCCCACCAACTATCTACCCCCTGGCGCCCGTCACTTGGCTATGATCATAGGCGAATGGGGGGACGGGGTGCACCTCGTCCAAGAAAGGCTCTAGCGGCAAATGCGTGCATACGCATATCGTTGGGTTGGGTGTCATGGGCAGTGGTTGTGGAAGCAGCTCCCCCCTCAACTTAGACGGCGGGAGCGACGAAGATTCAGGCGATGAGGGCATCGGTTCAGGGGCGGCGGAGTACAAGCGTAATGCGCCGGGGTTTGTAGCAAAGGTAGAACAGCTGCTTAGGATGTTCGGCAGCATCAAATACCCGGTCCACGTCCTTGCAGCCCTGTCTGGAAGATGGAGAGCGTGGCAAAATGGAGGCGTACGCCGAGATTGCGAGTCTCGAGGCGGTATGCCCCAAGTGCGGCAAGGAGTATGTCCACTTGAAGAGTGTGCGGGTCACAGCGTTGGTCCCGGTGAGTTGGGTATTTAGTTCATTGCCGGCACCGTGCGTCGCATTGTAAACATCGCCCCTTTTGGGTGCCGCTGCTTGGGCATG